GTTACAGATAACTCGCTTACTTCACTTAGTGTTATAGTAAAAACATCTGTCTGTTACTGATACCTCGCTTACTTCACTTAGTGTTATAGTAAAAACATCTGTCTGTTACAGATAACTCGCTTACTTCATTTAGTGTTATAGTAAAAACATCTGTCTGTTACAGATAACTCGCTTACTTCACTTAGTGTTATAGTAAAAACATCTGTCTGCTACAGATAACTCGCTTACTTCACTTAGTGTTATAGTAAAAACATCTGTCTGTTACAGATAATTCGTTTACTTCACTTACATTTCTTTCTATTTGAAGTTTTTTCTCCCGAAGCTCACAGACGCGATTCCAAACCATAACACCGATGTTATCGAGAGGAGGGGGTAAATCTTCTACTAGTGAGTATTCTTGTTTTCTTATCGTTCTTTCACCGTACGGATTAGGACATGTTGGATCAACGGGAATACTGTGTCGTTGCCTCTGGATTCTATTAACGAAGATGATGTTACTCAAATAAAGGAGTTTTCCTCTCAATAAAAAAAAGTAATAATAAACACAGTATATTTTTGATATCACATTAAATAAACTCCAATATGACAGCTGGTAACACACTAGATAACAGTACTATCCTAAATACTGGTACCTTAGTAACTAACCACAAAAAAACAACTTTGGATTTTAAAACAATGTTAAAATTGTACTTTTTTGTTTTTCAGGTTTTCGGCCTTTATACTGGAATTTTAGACAAGTAACCGTGTTTATAATACGATTAAAATCCAATAAATTTAATCAGGTATTGATTAGCTTATAAGTCTTTAACAATATATCGTTGTTTGAGCTCCTATAATTCTCACAAGTTTCTTGAATTAATAGCAAGAATTTCTTTTGTAAGTATTTATTGATAACAATGACTCAGTAGTCTGCAGTGTTCCTGCAGCCGTCAACTGACCGAATTTAAGACCAATTTTTAGAAAATTTAAAGACCCATGTTCACAGCAAATTGACCAAAAAATTACAAAAAATATTAATAATAATAAGGAAACGTTTAAATACTCTCAACGTGTTATTTACTAAGCCTGTAACGCAATTACAACGAATACCATTCTGTTTATCAACGACGTGTGTTTCTCATCTACTAATACGGCTCATTTCATTAGTCCTACATATCTATTGAGGGCGTGAATATTTAATTTTGGCCTGGGATTTGATTTCACCCCTTCCGTGACTTGCCCGAGATAAGTCAGGTGCTCTCATGTTTAAAAAATTACTTGCTTGGGCAAACTATTTCTCACAATATTTTTAGTTATTTGCCCAAATGTAGAGGCGTGGTATCATGTACTACAATCAATGCTCACTAGATGGCATTGTAAATGTTGTTTGTGCTGAACTCTTATCATATTTAATCTGAATTATGTATTCTAAACACCTGAGAATAGCATTCCTATTCTTTACTGTACTTTCGTTGAAATAATATATATCACTTATAATTCCATTTATTTATTGAGCATATTTGGTGCAGAAATATAACAACAGATCATTAAAATACTATAAGTATAAGCTATTAAAAAGTGAAATAAAAAACTGACACTTTTTAGCTCTTTTTGAAAAAAAAAGGCCTGACACAGAAGGGGTTAAGACTTTTTAAGATCTTCAGCAACATATTTAAGGCCTCCAGCAACATAGTTAAGACTTTTTATGGCCTTCAGCAACATATTTAAGGACTTTTTAAGATCTTCAGCAACATATTTAAGACTTTTTAAGGCCTTCAGCAACATATTTAAGACTTTTTAAGGCCTTCAGCAACATATTTAAGAGTTTTTTAAGGCCTTCAGCAACATATCTAAGACTTTTTAAAGGCTCCATGGAAACCCTGGTTTGAATCGACTTTGTAACCAGGTAATTAGTTCATTATAAAGATTGTTCTATCAAAGAAAGTTAAACTTCTGACCCAAAACTTTCATTTTTCACGTAAAGCTAACATACCAAACCCAGGCTTCTAAAACTAAGTTAGCTCTCTCTTTATTAGTCCGAGAACATTTCCAAATCTTTACAAACTTGTATTTTTTTCGGAATGCTTTGTACAGAGTATCTCCGTTAGGGTAGTCCATAAACTCCTTTTTAGCTTGCTTATCTAATGTTCTGTCAGCTGCTTGAAGGTTTTCATATTTTTCCTTCAGAAAAGTTTGCACCTCTACTACCTCTTCTATTGCTCGTTTCTTATATTGCTGAAAAGACAAAAAAAAAAACAGACAAATGAATTTCTTTTAGAAACATACAAATGTGTTAGAAACTAGATTTTTAATAAAGTGACAAGTCTTAGTTTAGGATTACAGTACTTTTATGTGACATAGAACTTCTAGAACCTTTATGGAGTTTTATCTGTTTTAAAAATACCTTGTTGATATATGTTTTCATGCAGATGGTTCAGTGGAGGGTCGATTATGCTATATTAAAATTATTTTGAACATACAAATCAGCAAGTAATGTGAAATCTATAGCTGATATAAAGTTACAGTGGGATAGAATGTATCAGTACTACATTTTGTCATTAGTGTGATCCCATCAAACATTGTGTTGCTTTTGGGAAGAATATGTAACAGCCCTTTCCAATACAAAATGCTCATACACTTAGATCATAAAGATACGTTCAGATGGGGATTTACTGTTTCAACGATGAGGATATCCCTTCATTTAATGGCATTGGAAAACAAAGGCATAAAACTATACCAAAAAAAAAAAAAAAACCCGAAGAAGACGTACCCCAGCCACGGTAAGCATTTATGATGTCTTGTAACAAACCAGAAACACAAAGGTCAGTGGTAAGAGCTGCTCAGGCAACATAATGAAGAAGGATCTCTGTCTGGAAAAGAAACACATGTAGTGTGTACAGATGTTTCCAGGAATATTATTCAACTATTGCATACCTTCAGCAACTAAAGAATGAAACAGGTTTTTAAATTATTCCATGCAGACTTACTGGCCAAGTTGCTGGATACAACACTTATGGATTTCTGTGGACCAGACTGTTTAAAAGGTGCTTGAAAACTGCCAGCTATATACATTAGACAGATTATGGAAAGCATGATGAGAGGAATATTGTGCTTTGAACATGACACCTTGAAGATGGAAACTA